TGCTGAGCTTGTGTCAGCATTTCTCAATCTAACCATGTTTTGTCAAGCTTTTTAGACTTAGAGGTGAAATTGCCCTGTGCATCTGAAATTCAGGACACAGCACTGTAAGTCCATAATCAGACTTTTTGCAAATTTTTCTGTCTGTGATCTGATGGCTTATTAGGTGAAATGTAAAAAAGATTGCACAATTATTAAGCCATTGTACTTTGAAATGAAATAGAACTTTGTCAACCAGAATGGGGTTTAGTATCACTATTTACTGATCCACTAAAAATCAGCTGGTTTACTGCTTAGGCAAGTGAAGGAACCAGAGTTTGATCCCTAGCACCACATGCTGCACCAGCCCCACCTCCAGATGTGGTGAGCTGGCTACTGAGATGGGGCTTAGTGGCACACACCTGTAATCCCAGAGCTAAGAAGGCTAAAAAACAGGAAGATCACTACAAGTCCAAACTGTGTAGTGAGACCCTGTTCCAACTACATTTTAAAAAAAAAATCAATTGTTTAACTGGTTTAATCAATTGTAATTTTATCTAAAACACTTTTAAGTGTTAGATAGATTACATGCAAATAGAAGATGAGACTTTAATCTTCACTTTTATGATATGTGAAAGTGTTACATATTTTATCTGATTATGTGTCAAGTTATCCCCTAAAATCTAGGGCTAATAATATTCTTGCAAATACATATTCTTGCCTTCAAATGACATGTTTAATTCTGATACTCTGTCAATGAGAGGCAACAGGTTCCAAGACTTCCAGACAATTGCTTTAAGATTGGTTCCAACCTAAAGTCCAGAGATAGCTTTCTATTTCTTGGGAGTTTTAAGATAGTGTGTGCTTTAAAAAATGAGGAGATAAGAGAGATTGATGGATAGGAGTGCTGCATTTGGTTAGTGTAAGCTGCAGAAAAAGGAAGCTTAGTACAGTGGAATACACAAGGCTCTGAGTCAAAGGATATCAGTTTTGCCACTGGCTGATCAAAGCGCATTGCATCAAAGTCGGTTTTCTCAACCACTGACCAGAAAAATAACACTGCATTTCCAAAGTGTTCAAAGGATTAAGATGTATTCATCCTTTTAGTCAATAAATATTTGAAAAATATTTGCCATGTGTCAAGCACCTAGGAATTAGACCTATAGATACAGTCCCTACTCTGTCGTAATTCTGTCAGAAAGATAGTCTTGAATCACATAATCCAGTAAAATAATCCAGTAGTGAAAGTAATACACTAGAAGGTTGAAACAGTAAGTGCTACAGAGGCAAGACACATGCTGTTTTGAGAGCATTGTCAACCTCTCTGGGGGAACCAAAGGAACTTCCTCAAGAAAGTGACATTTCAGGTAAGTCTAAAAATGAGGATGTATTAAAAAGGCAGAGGTGGGTGGGGAGTGTTTCAGGTGGAGACATCAGCATGCACAAGGGGCCTGAAGTGGGAAGAAACATGGCTACCAAGGAATATGAGTGGAAGGGAATATGAAGTTGGAAGAAGTGAATGAGAACCATAACTGGCAGACTTTTACAGATACAGTGACCCTACTAATTTATATTCCCCTTAACTCTCAAAACTGTGGCCACTTATAATCCCAGATGTTCAGGAAGCTAAAATGAGAGGATCACATTGTAAACTGGAGATCAGCCTAAGAAATTAATCTATATCCTGTCTCAAAATAAAAAATAAAAAATAAAAAATAAAAGGGGCTGGGAAGATAGGTTAGTGGTAACATTCTTGTGTATCATGTGCAATTCCTAGTACAATTCAAAAAGTAGCCTAATTTGGATATCTATATATGATCATGCTACCTACAGTCCATACATTTTGATTCATTCTCTAAAAACAATAAGGAATTTCAAGCATGAGAATAACATAATGGGACTTAATCAGTAAACCAAGGTGGAGAGCATAAGTCACTAACCTTCAAGTCTCTTGAGGTCTCACCTGTAAACTGTGTATTTTGGATCAGTTGCATATTACGCCATATCCTAATAAGAACAGAACCTCCAAGCTATCCAGGGAGAATCCACTTCTACAAACTGGCTTCTAGTCAAATTTCTAAAAACAAATTCAAGGTAGCCAGAGTTCTCCAGAAAAACCGAATCTATAGCATGTGTGTCTATATGGGCTACGGTGTAGGATAGATTGGGTGATTTGAACATATTGCCTCACATGACTAGAGAGTTGAGGAGGTTGGCAAATCCAGTACCTACAGGTATCTAGAGATGAGTGACAGCTCATTCAGAAGGCAATTTATTGGCATACCTCTCTCTTCTTTAGGGAAGATCAAGCTTTGTTCTATAAAGACCTTCACCTAACTAGAGGAGGCCCAGCCATATTTGGGTGGTAATCTGCTCTACTGAGTGTTTAAAGATGTTAATGTTGATTTCACCTGAAAAGTGTCTTGAAGGAAACATTTAGAAGAATACTGGGTCATGATTCTGGGGATCATAGCCAAGCCAAACCAATATACACAATTAATCATCACAAACAACTATTGTCATAAGTGGATGAGTTATTTTTTGTCTTTGTTGTTTTATTTTGTTTTGTTTTACTATTCCAGCTTGGGTACTGAATATTCCCTAAACATAAGCACAGATATCTATGCTTCCATAGGTCCTATGATGTCTTTTTGGGAGACCCCCCCCCCACAACTCAATAGAAATGATTTCAGAACAGACAAAGTAAAGTTTTAGAAGAAACAATTAGTCCCCCAAATTCCCACCTGCTAATATTCTAGAGTAAAGAAGCAGCATTGTTCTTGGAAAAGATGTGGCCAAGAGATTTCCCTTCTTGAAATGTTTCCCACCTCAAAAGAATAAGGCAAGAACTGTTTACTTGTCAAGGAAATTCCCTAAGGGAAACACTCACTTTGGATCTTCACAGTTTCAACAAAGAAGTTACAAAGTCCGACAATGTCTGAAACTTTTTTCTCACAGTCAGTGAAAATGAGAAGGGGAAAGAGAATTCTCACAGAAGCAGCTTTCCTATGACACTTCAGTGCTTCTCTTTTGGAAGAGAAAGGAATTATGGCTTTCAGCTTAAACATGGTAGGTTGGCTGTAAGACAGGGTGACCTGTATAGGTGCCATTACATTTATAATACAAGCCATAACTTACCCTTGGCATGAGAATTTGGGATTTTAATTCACAGAAAATTCAAAGGGTCTAAGAAACTTTCTGAAAACAATCTAATACCATACTCATTTTGTTGTTTTCTTTTTCCTTTGTGTTTTTTTATAACCCAGATGAGGTTAGCACACTTAACAGAAAAGGTCTCAAAGGACAAAAATCATGCAGACTCTCTGATTTGGAGCTTTCATGTAGACAGGACAAGACACAGTAGGCTTGGAATTAGCAGGAATGTTTAGAATGAGATATGGAGAAGTATGAAACTCTGATAAAACTGAGAACAAAAAGAGTATCTCTGAGAGACTGAGGACTTGAATTCCAGGAAAGGCCCCAATGGTAACATCTTAGGAAAGTGGTAGCAAACCTTTGGCACACACACCACAGCAGGAGCACAGGACCCTCTCTGTTGGCACGTGGGCCAAAGCACCCCAGTAGTCAGGCATTGGATAACAGTTCTTTCTAAACTAAACATCAGTATTTGGGTTTAATGTCAATGTTGGCACTTTGTGACAACTAACTGGGTTTGGGGATCCGGTTTAGGCTCTTGGTCTCTAAAGGTTCACTATCACTACTGCCCTAGAGTTTTAAACACAGATGTGCTAAGCCTCCTCTCTGTGTCCTTCAGTGAGGACTTCTACATACTTTACCCAGGAGCCAGCTGTCCCACGCTGTAACTGGCCAGATCGCTCTCCACACTCTTTTTTCTTTCTATTACTCTCTCAGTCCAAAACATACTCAGGACTTTGAGGAAAGTCAAGTGGTTTAGACTGTCTGAGGTGCACCCTTTACCCAATAGCCAACACCACTACTGTGCTATATTTCCTTTCTAGAGTATGTATGGTCACAAAACAAAAAGATATATTTGTGCTAGCACAGCATCTAACTTGACATGCCAAATGTATTTGTCACTTTCCCATCACTGAAAAAATTTAAGGAAGTCAGGTTTATTCTGGATTAGGTGTTTTTTTTTAATTTTGTTTTTGTTTTGTTGTATTTTTAGGGAAGTGTCTACAGGGTGTTCAGGATCTCACCACTAGATTGGATTTATAGTGATCCACCTGTTTATAGACTCCCAAGAGCTGGGATTACAGGCGCATACCTCCAAGCCCAGTCTCAAATGCCATCTCAGCATGCCCTGGGGGTGGGGCCAGCACAGCAGGCCTGGGGATTGAACCCCCAACCCCTGCATCTGCTTGCAGACACTTTAATCAGCTGAGCTGTTTGGCCAGCCCTTTGGATTATGGTTTTAGAGGATTTAATCCATGGCTTATTGAATCCAAGGCAGAAATGGAGTGGTAGAAAGGGTTGGCAAAGGAAAGTGTCTCACTCAGTGGCACCCAAAAAGCCAAAGGAGAGGGTAAAGGAAGGAACAAGGGTCAAGACTATACCCTTCCAAGTCATGCTCCAGGTGATTGTTCCCTCCAAATAGGCGCCACTTCTGAACATGGTGTACATTTTAGACCCAAATCATAACACTCTGCCCATGAGCCCCATAAAGCTCAACTCCAGTATACAAAATGCATTAGTTCATGTCTAAGTGTCACCAGAGTCTTAACAATTGCAGCATCGCTGAAAAAGTCCAAGCCCAAAGTTTCCTCAGACTCAGTGTAAACTCTTAGCTGTGAGCCCCTATAAAAATAAAAAAGAATGTTAAGTTCTTCAACATACAAAGGGAACAATGGAAGAATAAAAAAGAAACAATCCAAGTGAGCCCAAAATACAGTAGAGCTAACATATTCTGCAGCTCCGTGTCTAGCATCTGTGGTGAGTGACAGTGAGTTGTGAATTCCAAAGGGCTTGGGCAGCTCTGTTTCTATGGCCTTGTTGGTGATAACCCATGCGGCCTCTCTCTTAGATAGATGGGTTCCACTCACTGCTGGCTGTTTTCTTCAGTAAACATTCCACATCCTTGACATCTCCAACTTTCTGTGTCTCCGTTGCACCTTCAGCTTTACTCTCATAGTTGCATGCATTTATCTCTCGTGGACACACTGCTTGACTTCCCAGGACTTCTTTGGAAATCTTAGTGAAAGGCTCCATGTCCCATAACTTTTGTATTTGGCATTTTAAAAATATAGCACCATATAGATGCTGCCAAGATCTGCTCCCAGCTCTAGAAGTAGCCAAGTCCCCTTGGAACATGGCTGCAGCCACCTCTGAGTATTTGGAAGGCTAAACTTAATGATAGACTTTCCAAAATGACCCTGAATGAGAAGGGCATCCTGAGGCTCTCTTTTAAAAGCAATGGTGTTGTAAACTAGTTTATCCTCTTACACCTTTGATCTTGAGCATGAAAAGCTCTGGCTAATTTTTAAGATGCATTCAAGCCATCTTTATCCTGATAGAAAAATACATGCCTTCTTTTTAATGATAATATTTTTAGCAACCACTCTCTCCTTGTCCCCAATTTTGACAATATTTACTGTCTTGTGAAACTGCAAACTTTATGCATGGGCTTTTTGCTCCCACTTGTCACTGGGGATCTAGCCAAAAGCAGCTAACAATACCCATGCACCAGTCAGAACATTGTACTACCTTGAAATTTCTTATGCAAAACTAATTAGTTCACCTCTCTAAATCTCAGTCTCCTACAAAATCTAAGGCCGTGGGCAAAATGCAAACAAAATTTTTTTTTCCAGGATGTAGCATGCATGGCCTCTATTTTGGTTCTACATAAAGTCCTTGTTCCACTTGAAACCATGTGAGGCTGGCCTTTACTGTCCACATTTCTATCAGCATTCTGCTCTTCTGAGCTCTGACAAAAATCACACAACAAGTTCCGTTTACAGCAATCTTAGGCTCCTGCTCTCTAACTTGCACCTCTAATCTTTTCCCATTTCTGCCTACAAACAAATTCCAAAGGCTCTGGGGTCACATGATCAGGGGTAGTCACAACAATAACTCTGTTATCAATGTTCAGTGTTAGCTTTCCATCATTAGGGAAAAATAATTGACACTTGCAATTTAAATTAAGAGAGGCTTATTTTGGTTCATGGTTTTCGAGGATTTAGCCTACAGTTAGCTGACTCCTAGGCAGAAAGAGATGGTAGAAGGATATGGCAGGAGAAAACTGCTTGACACATAGAACAAGGAAGCAGAGAGGAAAATGGAAGAATACCCCCTCCCAGGCATGGGATGCAGTGATCCAACCCCTCAAATGGGGTCCCACTTCCCAGCGTGGGACTTTCCAGGGACCTTTTATGTGTTGTTTCGTCTTGTTTTGTTTTGTTCTTGGCAGAATCGGGGATTGCACTCAGGCTCTCATGCTTGCCAGGGAAGCACTTATTTTACTGAGCCATCTGCCCAGCCCCTCCAGGGATATTTCGATGCAGATTGTAACAACAAACTCAAATACAGATAGAAAATTATTCTAAATAATGTTCTCTAACTTTTTCTCAATGAAAATAGAAACATATTCATTTTCTCTTTCCAAACAGAGTAATAAATTGATCTTCTGAAGAATCATACATTTCTACCCAGCTAGCCAGACAGTTAGTTAAAAGCCAAAATAATCTTTACTTTAGAGATCAGCCAGATCTAACTTAGTTCACTGTAGGTAATAAATCTGTCCTTTCCAGAGGGAAGATAACAGAAGCAAATAAAGTGATGAAACCTAAGGGAATGACAAAGTGTAGAGGTTAACAGAAAGGAGATAAATTGTTGACATGACTACTTTCTCCATCCTATAATTTATCAAAAAATATATATTTGTCAAAGGATAAAACTACCTCTCTCCATTAATCCATTATCTCAGCATCTTTTTCTTTCCTTCCCTTTTAAAGGACTTCCAATCCTTTTTTTATCAAAAAGTGGTAGTCATCCTTTCTATAAAAATTGTCACATTATAGGAGAACCTGTACTGTAACATCATGTAACTCAGTTGTGCCCCAAATTTTCTGATCAAGGAGATTATGGGGCCACAGAGGAATGTGATCAATGATGTAGTGTGTGCCTAAAGAGAGTCACATGGAGAGAAAATGTTCTCTCAGGCTTTCTCAAAGAGCAAATTGCTCTAACAATGGCCATGACTCATCCACATGGCTGACACTGACAAAGGATCTACAAAGTGCGGTGCAGGGTTTCAGGGTAAACCCTGAGGGGACTTGACTGAGCGTGTCAGATACAAAAGTTACATGCTTTGTTATATAGGTCTTGCTTTATCTTGGTCTTAACCATCCAGCAGAAAAGTATAGAAACAAGGTATGAAAAGCCACGCCATGTTAATATGCTGAGCTGTGAAAATCTCAAGTCATCAGATTTGGACATTGCCAGATCTGTGGATAACCCACTACTATTGTGGACTACTGTACTACATTGGATTATCTTGCTGAATTCATGCACCTACAGTATTTGGATGGTGATGAAATACCCATCTATGACAAAACTGAATAAAAACAGTGACATAAATGAAGGACAATTTTGTATCTGTATATACAAAATAGTTAGGGTAGATATAAAGCTACTTTCTCTTAATTCAATAAGAAGAAAGATTTGTACTAATAGTGTTTGGACAAGATATCATGTCTGCATCTTGTGCTATGAATGACTACTACAAAGACAACAATATCAATGTATTAATTGTTGTAACACTCCTACCAACCTGTTTTGAAGCTGTCACATCGCAATTTTTTCTCAATAAAAGTAATAAAAAAAATTGTCACATTGTAGATGTGAACCCTGTTTCACTTCTGAAACAAATTTACTATAGAATACTAAACACAATGCAGAACACATCTTACTAGAATGTTGTAATGCTGTTCTGCCTGAAATTAGGATAGGATGCTTCAAAGATAAATATGCTATCTAGGCCCTCCAGCATGTATAGATAAGTTTAAGTTATATCATCAAATCCTAGCTTTTAAAAATTTTAACTAATTTCTAAGTATTAGGGAAGATTCATGTCCTTGAGATATGAGAAAGAGGGAATTTTATTTTTCTTTTATTTATGTATTTTGTTGTTACAAGGTCTCACTACATAGCTCAGACTCATGATCCTTTTGCTTTCAGCCTCCCCAGTACTGGGATCACGGGCATGGGCCACTACAATTGGCCATCTCAGCCAGCTGGCCAGGTCAGCCCACCCTGTGGACAGGGCTAGCATGTCATATGGTACCAAGGACAAACTACTGTCCCTGCACTTGCCTAAGCTTGCCTAAGCAGGCACTTTACTCCATTGAGCTATCTCACCAGCCAGGAATTTTACTTCTCTAGCACAAAGGATCTAGTTTTTATTTTCAACTGTCATAGATCAGAAATCAATACTACATCCAGGTTCCCAAAAAAGAGGTGGTGTAAACTGCCCTCTGCTCCCATAACATTTGTATGTTGAAAGCCTAATTAATCCCAAACATGACTGTATATGAAGATAGAGCCTAGAAGGTAGTGATAATAGTTCAGTGAAGTCATAAGGGTAGGACCTAGCTCAATAAAAGAGGTTGCCTTATAAGAAGAGGAGTGGACGTCAGCTACCAATCTCTCTTTCTCTCTCTCTCTCTCTCTCTCTCTCTCTCTCTCTCTCTCTCTGCCTTTGTCTCTCTCTCGGTCTGTCTGCCTGCGTGTGTGTGTGTGTGTGTGTGTGTGTCTCCCTCACCCTTGTCTGTCTCTCCTCTCTCCTTCCCTTGGGACCATGAACAAGATGTTATGTGTGCATACAGAGAGATGGTTATCTACAAGCTAAGAAAAGAAGCTTCAAAATGAGGCTTCTATTTTTGCAGTACCTTGACCTCAGACTTCCAACATCTAGAACTATGAGAAACAAATTCTAGTGTTTAAACCATCCAGTGATGTTGTGATATGGCAGATTTAGCAATCAAAGACAAAGACCAAACTGCAGATTGGAAGGAGCAGGCCAGGGCCTAGAAGTCAATGAGCTAAGATGAGTAGCTATGATTTTCACAGCCAACATGCCCTATGGGCTAAAAAGACACAAAAGGAAGCACCAATGATGTAGAAATATGGCATGCAATCACAGTGCACTCTGAAATCTAAGCCAAAGGATCAGCTAGCTCATAGTTTAGTAGTTCAGAGCAAAACAGCTATATGACCTTCAGCAACTTTGTGAGCTTTGGTTTTCCCATTTTTGAAATGGGACAGCATCTATTTATATGAAAATTTAATAAAATATATAGGTAAAGAGTTCAGTCCAATATCTGACTCATAGAAAGTGCTTACTTCAATGATCCAAAGCAAGCAAAGATTAGGGTAGACAGGCCAAAGTTGTCATTTACAAGCTAACACAGCAAAGGGACAGAGGCAAAATGCAGCACAAAGTGGCAACACTCAGTGGGGTTAAAAAACAACTCAGAAATGGCCCTGAGTTAGAACATCAACCAAAACCCCACAATATTATAAGGTAAAATAATCCAATCCAGTTCAGGACCTGGTAGTTTGTTCTCTGTGCTAACCCTTGCTAGATGAACAAGTCATCATTCTCATGGAAAAGAGATGGCTCACTCAAAGTATATGAAAAAAGTAACAGTGGCCAAAGAGACAGTGGAGAGGACAATGCAGCCCTCAACTAGCAAGAAAAGGAAGCCACAAGCAAGCCAAAGCCCAAGGGGCCGGAAAAGGGAGTGGTTGCGGATCCCAGTGGGACTGGGGAAAGACCCTCAAGGGGAACAGGGGCTTTTTCCAGATGAACTCAGCCACTAACAGCCTGGGTTCTGGCAGGAAGGGCAGGGAAAATGAACTGATCCACTTCCCTTTCCTGCTTCCCTCTGACTTCCTTCTGGTCCTTCCTATTAACCAAATGCCAGCAGAAGCCAGAGGCAAGCAAGGGAACTCTGAATTGAATCAATAGTGATCACCCCATAGGACCTAGAGTAAAGAAGGATGAGGTACAATCCCACAGAGGTGAACAGAATATGAAGTTCAAGTTTGAAAAGATAATAGCATACTGTCCCCCCCAAACAAGATGGAGGCTAGGGACACTGGTTCTAGAGTTAATAAGAGGTCTTCTTAGAGACCTGCTTCAGTCTTACTATGAATTATCAAGGCAGCAACAAGCTAAGACTCCTTTGTTTGGGCATGAAGACCTCATC